ATCACTTTTCACTAAAAATACACACACAAGAATAAATCTCACCATCCTCAATAGCTCTTTTCCACTTTCAAAGAGCCTGGAAAGTAAAAAGTAGATACAGAATAAACAAATAACATATTTTTCACCTAAACTTGTATAATCCTCACCTAACAAATGAATTGAAAAAGAATTTTTAAAAATAAGACAATCAAGGTCATTAGAAAACTGACTGGATATTGAATAGTAAGAAATTACTATTCCTTTTTTTTTTTTCTTTTGTGGAACCGGGGATTGAACTCAGGACTCTGTGTTTGCCAGGCAGGTGCTGATGCTACTGAGCCAAACGTCCCGCCCAAAAAATTACTATTCTTTAGGCTTGAGAATAGCACTGTATTTTATGCTTCTGTGGTGCTTTCCCCTAACAGTTCATCCTTCAGATTCACCTGATGGATTAATTTATGGATGAGAGGCCAGAGACCCGCCTTCGAATATTCAACAGGTGGATAAAACAGGATTGGTCATGTGCTACTAACAGTTGAAGACAGGTAACTGATAAAGGAGGCTTTATTATACTTAGCTCCTTTCTCTATGTTTTGCATATGGCTTAAAGTTGTTCTCTGGGAATAAAAATGTATCCTATGCATCAAAACGTCCTGTCAAAAGTACAGAAGTGTTTGTTTCACTACAGCACCCAAAATTCTTCTTTTTTCTTATTCATCTGGTTTGTGATTAGTAAATTCTATTCTCCAAAGGAATGAATTTTCTCCAATAAACTAAAAACGGAAATTCAAGAATCTTTGTCAACTTTTAATTCCACTCATCGAGTAAGTGCTAAGTGAAGAAACAATCTAGAATTCCAATTTCTAATTAATCACATTATTTAACTTCAAGACTACGTTTTGAGTTAAGGTGATGAACAAGACAAGATTTGTTTTATTTTGAATTTACCTCACTCCTCCCCTAGTATTAAACTGTTCGATGGATAGTGTACAAAGGTAGAAATTTAACAGATTCACTCAGTTCACTCACAGGAAATAAACTCCTTCCCTGAAGAGGCTAGAATTCAATAAAATGTGACACACAGAAATATTCTAAAAATCTCGGGGTAACCCACATAATCCCCTACAGTCGCCCCACGAGCCTTTCAAGTGGTTAGAAAGCAGCGACCCTGGTTGGTTTGTTTCACCTCGTCCTCCTTTCAGGGGAGGAGCTAAAGAGCAAAGAAATGACCAAAAGACAGGCCGGAAGGAGGAGAGCGAAACGCATGGAGTCCGGACAATCAGCGCTTAAATATGTGAAAAGTGTATCCAAACTGGATTAAGTGAAGAGGGAGTGAGCTGCAACACACCTCCCTGTATAATTTCAACGTTCCTAAGCAGTCCAGAGGAAGGAACTCCCTGCTCTCCCCCAAGTATTCACAGGTACAAAGGCGTAAAAGAACTCTTCCTGACCCTCGCCCAGCAAGAATGCCAGAACCTCAACTCCCACCTGCCTGGGCCCGCAGGCCTTAGGCGCCCGGGCCCGGGAAGCCGCCCTCGCCAGTCCTCGCGCGGGTCCTCAGGCCGGGACCCTCTCCACAGACCCGGACCGAGTCCGGCTGGCACGACTCGCCCGCCGCCAGGCCCTCCGCGCCCGCCTGCTTGCGGGGTCCTGGGGTCCTGGACCCACGCTGCCCACTCGGGGCCCAGGCCCGGCGCCCCAGGAGGATCGTCGCGCGCCTCAGCCCGGTTCCTTCTCCCCGTCCGCAGACCCCGAGCTCCCCGACCCACGGCAGCCGCTACCGTGCGAATGAAGCCACTGCCTACCTGTCTTCGCTCTTGTTTTTCTGTTTCTTCCCCATGGCTTGTCAGCGGTGCTTACGACCCCTAGCCTCTCTTCTCCGTCTCTCACAGAGCCAGCGAACTCAGGTCGACTTCGGGCTCTGCTTAGTTTCTCTCCGCACCGCCACCTCTCGCACCCGGCTCTCCACAGACCCGCGCACTGGGACAGGGCACATATGGTGTGAACCCTCAGTGCGCAAGCGCATCTCCCCACCGCCTCGGCGTGGGGACGCAGGACGCGGCGCATAGAGAGTTGAGCTTGGAGCAGAGCGTCTCCAGAACACACTCCGGCCCGGCCGGATCCCGAGCGCCCCCTGACCGTAAGCCTCCGCAGCGCAGCGACGCCCTCTCTGTTTCTAGGTTTTAGAACGCAAAGGACAATGAAGATGTTCATTCTCCCTTTCACACCTTCCCCGCGTTGAATGCAGGCTTCGGAGATCGGCATTTGGCACAAAAGTGGGCCGAAGGCTTACATCCCGTAGGCCGTTAGGTTCTCAGCAACATCAAGTTCAGTAAAGAATCACCATGAACCAATGATGAACCCTCCGGGGTTCCAGAAGATGAAACCAGGACAAAACTGGGTTCCTTGTCAGGGACGTCCATAGATTATAAACTATGTACGGTCATGAAGGAAATACATAACAAGCCCATCTCCACCCATTCCCTAGCATAGGGCTTAATCTTCATACTCAAATCTAGAGCAAGTTCTTAAAATTTGAGTGTTAGGGAATCCAGGAAGCTAGCTCCTGGGGTGGTGAAAATGTTCTGGATCTGGATGGTAGACACTCCCTGTTTAACGACGGAGACTCGAGACTCGCTCCTGCAACCAAATGAACTGGTCGCTAAATGAGAAATTGTATGTAGTATGCACATTACAATACAACATTCAGAACAAAGAAATGGTCAAAGAGAACTCCAACTTGATGACTTGGCTTTTATTTGCATCGCTCTTACATGCAGTACTGTAATATATAATAGAACATAAAATTAAAGTACTGTACAGTACAGTCAGCAAGAATTACAGTAGTGTACGAAAGAGTTGTACTGTAAAAAAAGACACTGAGGCTCTATCAGCAAGATGTACAGAACTACAAAAAAAAAAACAAAAAACAAAAAAACCACGGGTCCTAAATCCAAATAGTCGCTAAACAGGTAGGTCGTTAAACTAGGAAAGTCTGTATCAGGAGAGTTAACGATTTAAACTTCATTGTGCTGCATAAATTATACCTCAAATTTAGAAAAAGGAGACATGTTCCACACACGTTAACGAAGTTCAGGTGTCACCCCTGAGCAAGATCCTTGCTGTCGCGTTTCTGATGTAACATTATGAGTAATGTACAGTGCCTAAGAAGTCGAACAAGTCGGGCCCGGGCACGAAGAAACTACAACTCCCAACACACTTTCCGATCCCGCCGGACTCTTTTACCCGGAGAGAAACAAAGGATCGGAAAGCTCTAGTTCCAGAAGCTTGGGGAGACGCGCAAGCGTAATAGCACTCGGCGCACGCCCCCAGTTTTCCCCCCCGCGTCGCACGTTGTGTCGCGAGAGAATCACAGCCAATAAGGAGGCGGGAGTGACGGTCGATTAGCAGTCGCCGGCAGCTGCTGCGAGCCTGAAGACACTTTGCTGGTGCTGCCTCTCCTTCTATCGTCAGGCGTAGCAGAGAGCTCAGGTGAGGCAGTGGGTGGTGTCACATTTGCGGCCACCGCGTCCCAGTACGGATGGGCCCATAGCCGCTCCACATCGAGCTGGGTCGGGGGAGGGGCGCGGCCCGGACGACGTTGTCCGTGCTGCGGCCGAGGCTCTCGCGCATGCGCCCCTGGAGGCATTGAAGTCGTGGGCCGGGAACTGCCCTCACCTTTCCCGGGGGATCGAGGGAGGTGAGGATACCATTAGGAAGGTGCCTGGGTGTGATGGTACGTGCCTGTAATCCCAGCACTCGGGAGGCTAAGGCAGGAGGATTGCTACAAGTTCAGCGCTAGCCTGGGCTACATAGTGAGTTCAAGGCCAATCTGAACTACACAGCAAGACCCTGTCCCAAAAAAACCCCAAAAACTATCTAATATAAAACTAAGAGACATGATATTAATTAGCCTTAAAAAAATTAGTCCATGGAAAGTACCTTTTAATGATTGATCCTCAAATACAAAAAGATCCACTTGGGCAAAGCCCCCTTACTTAATAATTACTTGTTAGAAAGCAAAAAGTTTATTCTTTAAAAATAATGTTCATCAAATGTATAGCAATTTTTCTCAGGTTTTACGTTTTTCCTCTTGTGAAATATACATCCAAAAATGCATAGAATTTATGTGTATACTTTAATAAGTAATGATAAGCGAAATACATAACATTTACACTTGGAGGAAGAAACAGCCAGCCCCAAAAGCTCCCCGCGAGGCTGTCATCACTGGTTCGCCCTTCTTCCCTAGTCTGCCCTGTGCCAAATTTTGATGATTATTTTCTTTATCATTTAGTACCCAAACTACTCCAAAACAGTATACATTAGCTTTGGCTAATTTTTAACCCTTTCTTATTCTTTTATTTTGAAAAATCTCAAACCTGGAGGAAAGTAGCAAAGAAGTAAAATGAACCTTTTCACGCTGTTCACCTCAATTCCCAGTTGTTAGCATTTTATCATGTTTGGTTTTTTTTTTTTTTTTTTTTTTTGGTACCGGGGATCAAACTCGGGTCCTTGCACTTGCGCAGCAGGCGATGAAACCACTGAGCTAAATCCCAGCCCTTATTATGTTTTCTTTATAACCCTATAGATGGGTATTTTATATGCTGTTTAAAGCATTGGTTTTGAAATTTATATGAACAAACTTATACTATGTATATTATTTTGTCTCTTTTTTCATTTTTATAAAGTTTGGGAGATTGATCTGTTTTGTTATAAAAGTTGTGTGTATGTATGTATGTATTTATTTATTTATTTATTGGTACCAGGGATCGAACTCGGGTCCTTGCACTTGCGCAGCAGAAGGCAAAACCACTGAGCTAAATCCCCAGCCCTGTATTTATTTTTTTAAAAAAAGATGGCTGGGGAGCATTTAAGGACGAAGCCCATTGGTTGCTTGGGCAGGTATTTGTGGGAGAATCAAGTGGTTAGGGAATTTGAAAATATGGGATGTCCCTTCCCATCCTGCCTTTGATCTGTAGAAAAGAATCAGAAGCTGTGGTTTGAAGAATGAAGTTGCCGAGCCCAGGACACCATCTCTTTAGGCCTTCCTGCATGCAGCAGCCACCACCCCATGCACCCACAACAGCTCTTGCTAATCACTTCTGATTCCAGTTATCTCACTTAAATTCTGGGTTCATCCTGTAGAACTCAAGGGATAAGCATCTGTTATCCCCTGCAAGCAGGTTCTGACCTTCTTCAGCTAGCCTCAGCCCCACCCCCCACCCCCAGGGCCACAGTCTTCCTGATGTTTTTCTTGGGAGGTAAGGAGTATGGAAATCTTTTGCTGTATTTGTAATAGAGCTTCTTTTCAATTACACAGCATTGATGATGAGCTTATAGTTTGGCTCTTTAAACTCAGATACTTTTGCACTTAATTTGAAAGAAACTAGACTTCTGAAATGTGATTTAAAAATATGGTGAGTGTTTAAATTTTTTAAATGTCTCACAGTAAAAGACACATTGCCATGAATCCCTGTCAAAATTCTCCCCTTCACTACAAACATGCTTACCCATTGCTCTTGCCATTTTCTGAAGCAGTTCTGGAAGTCCTCCTTCCTGGGTTTCTTTTGTCCCACTCTGGTAGCTGCTTGGATCCCTAAATTGATTCAGAATGTTTACCTTTTGTGGTCATTTTGACTTTGGGGAGGAAGAGCCAGAAGTCACACCATGCTAGATCTGGTGAATAAGGTGGATGTGGATGAGGACACACTGTTATGTTTTTATTTGACAGAAACTGCCATAAACATTTGATTAATGCGGAGTGATGATAAAATATGGTTAATATTTAAATTTTAAAATGTATTATAATAAGGCATTGCCATTAATCCTCCTCAAAATATCCCCTGCCCCCTTTTTTTTTTTTTTTTTTTTGAGACAGAGTCTTACTATGTAGCCCAGGCTGGCACTCCTACCCTGCCTTAGCCTCCCAAGTGCTGGGATTACAGGTGTGTGGCCACCACATTGGCTCCTGCCTCCCTCTTAAACAGTTAGCCTCTCATTCTTGGCAATGTGACTTTTACTATAGTAAGATTTTAAAAATTTAAACACTCACCATATCCTGTGATAACTCCTTGTATGTTCATTCAACATTAAATTCTGCATTTAGAACACCTTCTGGGTTCTAAGCACTTTGCTAGTTCAAGGGTTACAAGGGTGAAATCACTTACACTTTCACCTGTTTTTTCTGTAAAGAAAATGGAATAGGACTGAAGTTTGCAAGAAGAATATTTCTCTTTATATCAATATTTATAGAAGGTCTGTGTGTCCAGGTTCAGAGTTAGAATCTGAGTGAATGAGTTCATAGTTCATTGAGGTTTTTAAGGTGCGTTAGTGGTATTTGCAAAACTATCATAGTTTATTGAGATACAACAGCTTCCAACTATAAATCATTTCTGTGTTAATAATCCAGGGACACATATAAAATTGGTTCTGTTGCCAGTAAATACTCCACTTATTTAAAAATATATAATTGACAGATCTTTTGTCTAATCTGAGATCTGTTTGAAAACCTAGATCGCACAAAGGAATGATGTATCCTATTTTTAAAAGTAAGCCAGGTGTGGTAGCACTCACCTGTAATCCCACCATTCAGGAGGCTGAGGCAAGAGGATCACAGTGAGTTTAAAGCCAGCCTAACCCTGTCTCAAATATTTTTTTCAAAAAGTATTTGAAGTTTTACATCAAAGTTAAGAACACTATTAGTACATTGAAACCAGTATCAATTTTTGCAGCCTCATAGATTTTGTTAGGTGATAGAACAGGAGTGACAAACTCCTTAGGGCAATGACCATGGAAAAGATATCTTTTGCTCAGCTCAGTGTTCAGTCGAATTTTGGCATGTATTTGTACTTGTAAAGCTCAGTAGTTAATGCCCTCCTATTGTAGTTATTTCTGCTTTGCTTCCTTTTTCCTTTGGTAAAAACACTGGTTACCAGTGGCACTACATGGCACTAGGTACAACTACCCCTCATTTCTCTGTGATCTGATGATGCCCTTAAAGATTTGTTTTGGCTTTAGTATGGTAAAACAAACTAAATCAGAAGCACCTGAAATTTGCTCTAAGTAGTTACATTTTAGTCTTCAATTAGAGTTTGATTTTAAAAATGTTTCCATTTATTTAACAAACTCCCACCTGCTTGAATCATCAGAGATACTTCCTGTGTGATTGTCCCATTGGGCAGCTTGTACCACCCGATGGGACTATCCCATGCCTTGTGATGGGACAGCTATGCGTGTACCTACCATGGTTCAGAGCAGCTTAGCAGTGAGACATTAATTAATGGCCCCATCATGTACATGTTAAGTTACTGTGCAATATGTTATCACCAACTCTGTTTCCTCTTCAGTTGGTTATGGCTAAAACATGAGATTTAACTTTTCTGAAATTTTAGTAAGACTAGAACCTACTGAAAATTAAATTTAGGAACATTTAAATAAAGATTCGTAAGCCTAATGTCAAGTACTTGGCTGTTGGCAGAATGCTCTGTGGAGTATACATAACAGGAAAAAAAAAATGTTTCTTCTTGTTGTTTTAAGTTTTATAGACCTCCCCAGCACGAAAGCTAAACTATACCACTCAGAAGAATGGAAGCAGATGCATCTGTCGACATGTTTTCAAAAGTCTTGGAGAACCAGCTGCTGCAGACTACCAAATTAGTGGAGGAACATTTGGATTCTGAAATTCAGAAACTGGATCAGATAGATGAAGATGAATTGGAACGGCTCAAAGAAAAGAGACTTGAGGCCCTAAAGAAAGCTCAACAGCAGAAACAAGTAACCTCTCTGCCCTGCTTTCTGAAATTGCTATAACAGTATGCTCCTAACAACTTACATATACATGTGCTTACGTTTAGGTCCTCAGTTCTAGAATTTTCTAAATTCAAAGTATCTATTGTTAAAAATCTGTCCGGGAAGCCTGAGATGTAGCTCAGTGGCAGTGTGTTGGCCTAGCATGCGCAAGGCCCTAAGATCAGTCCCCAGCACCATAAAATAAAAGCTTAAATTTGTTCAGGAAAAAAAATTAGGGAAGAAGATGTGATATGTGAAGGGCTGACATGTGATTGATTAAAAGTTAAATCTTAGTCCAAGCTGGGATCTGCAGACCAAAGTTGTGGATATAGTGCAGTGCAGTGCAGTGTAAGATGATCTTTCTAAAAAAGATACAGTGTGGGTACAGATGCTTTTTAAGCACTGGGTCAGGCATTGTTTCAGGCATTCCTCCGCAGATTGCCCTTTCATTTTCACAACAACCCAATGAGATAGTTGCCTTATTGTGTCCACTATACAAATGAGGAATTGAGGCTCAGAAAAGGCATTAAAATTCTTAGCCCAGTAGATGGTAGAATAGGTATTGAAACGTGTGCCTTCTGCCTGCGAGTTCAGGGCTCCTTTTTTATTTTTGTTTTCTTTTGGGTTTTTTTGGTACCAGGGATCAAACTCGGGTCCTTGTGCTTGCGTAGCAGGCGCAAAACCACTGAGCTAAATCCCCAGCCCTAGGACTCCTTTTTTAAAGGAGTTAAAAGCAACTGCCTAAAAAGCAGGCTGAGCTTCCAGTTGAGGTGTTAAGCTTCTTGCTACAGGAAAGATTCGAGAAGGTCTTGCAGGCTGGGTTGCTAAGGGGTTCCTGCATTGGTTGGGGAAGTTGGATGACATGCAAGATCTTCATGGTCTCCAGACCCTGTGTGAGTAGGCACATTTTCTTCTCAGGACATGGTCCCTTGTCCTCAGGAGCACACAGGATCCCCAAGCTATGAGCTGCAGTAATCTCTCTGTCCCTAACTGGTTTTTGTTAGTTTGGTTTTTGCTGTGGACGGAACTTTTTTAAATTTTTTTATTTTTTGGTCCCGGGGATCGAACTCAGGACCTTGTGCCTGCAAGGCAGGTGATGGAACCCCTGAGCTAAATCCCCAGCCCGAGGGAACATTATTTTTAAAAGCTTTGCAAAGCTGGGGTGTAGCTCAGTGGTAGAGTGTTCCCCTGCCTTGCATAACAAGGCCTAGGGTTCAATCTCCAGAACCACAAAAAAAGAAAAAAAGCTTTGTAATAACTTGAATCAAATGCTTCTGATTGTAGTAGTTTAAGGGCACACATACACATAAAGCTGGGTGTGATGGCACAAGCCTGTAATCCCAGCACTTGGGAGGCTGAGGCAGGAGGATCGCTGTGAGTTCAAGGCCAGCATAAAGTACATAGTGAGACCCTGTCTCAGCCAAAAAAAAAGGAAAGTAAACTGCTAAAAGGAGTAAGTTTCTGTATAAGATAAAATCGACTTGATTACAAAATAATTGTGACACAATATCAAGTAGTGCTAAATGAAATATATCACATGTGTAATATTTTACTTCTGTCCAAATTAGGAATGGCTTTCAAAAGGACATGGAGAATACAGAGAAATCCCTAGTGAGAGAGACTTTTTTCAGGAAGTCAAGGAGAGTAAAAAAGTGGTTTGCCATTTCTACAGAGACTCCACATTCAGGTAACTTCCCATCCTTTTCTTAAAACACAATGAAATGTTTGCATAGAGATACATTGGCTTAATAGAGATGTTTAACCACTACCAGTGCAGTTATTTAAAAACAGGATGACCAAACACTGCATATTTTTGTTAATTTTTACAATATAAGAGAAATATTAAAATGACAATTTTATCAGATTTATTCAATAATTTTTCTGTGTATGGTATATCTTAAAACATTCAATATAGAATGCAGTGTTACAGTCTGGGCAGTAGTATCTGGTCTCTATCCAAATTCTTTTTGCATTATTGTCTTTCTTTGAACAATACACTTCGTACTGCTGTGTTGGCCTTTCCTTTTTTCCTGTGGGTGGTATAATTTCAATAAAAAATGTAATGGTGAAGATGTCGCTGATGGATGTCCTGGTTGGCATTTCATTATCCCACATTTTTCAATTATTTGGTCTATTAGACCTAAACTGTAAATGACTTTGAACCCCCTTGTTTTGAATAAATAGCAAACAAGTTCCATATTGTTTGGTCCAGAAAGTGCATAAATATTTTATCATAATATTTTTTCCTCACTTTTTCATTACAGCATAGCTTCTTAGATGTTGGTCAACTCTGTCAACACCACTTATAGGATTATTATAATCATTGACCACTGTTGGAATTCTTTTAGTTTTGTTTCTTCTTTGAAGTTCTATCATTTCTGTATTATGAATAGTTGACAATAAGGAGACATCTTTTTTGTATTTCCATTTCATAATAGACTTTTCCTCTCTGAAATGCTAACATTTCTCTCTTTTACAGTTTTTTCTTTTGCAGATCTTTTGGCACTTCCTTCCTATTCAGTCTCAGTGTCCCAAAAGTGTCCATTTTGTATTGTAAAAGAATATCACTGAGTTCTGGAGAAGTATAAAAATTATATTGAATGTACTTATGATAAGAGTTTTTATAGATTGTAGCACAAAATTATAGGTTATTTTTCACAAATAAAATAGACATAAATTAGTAAAAGAAAATAAGCAGAACTACTTAAGATTTCACTAGAAACATCAAAGGTGAATACAGTGTTCAAAATAAAATATATGCAAAGAATAGTCGATGTTTATAAAACAAAAACAGATATACATGTGTATCACGTGCAAATAAGAATGGACTGTTTGAAATGATACCTGCCTGAGTGATGCTCATGACAGTCAGTGCATAAAAACATTAAGTGGCTAAGAAAACTAAAAGAATCAACTTCCTAAGTTGTGTCTTGATACTCTGTCATGCTTTTTAATGTTCTGGTCTGCATGTTAAACAGTTGTGGCTTAAAGGCCACTAACATGCAAACAAATGAATATTATTGAAAGTCAGTAATACTCCCATATAAATTGCATGTATTTCCTGAATTATTTTCTTGTTAACGCTAAGACTATCTTAGAAATATATACTTAAGGCTGGGGATATAGATCAGTGGTGCTGCACCTGCCTGGCAAGTGCAAGGTCCTGAGTTCAATTCCTGGTACCAAAAAAGAAAAAAATGTATACTTAAATTTCTTACCAGAACAAATTATTTTTTTCTTTTTTTCCTACTGGGATAATAAAGCCATGATGTTGGGAATTAAGGGAAGGGCAGCAGCTTTCATAGTTGGTGTTCAGTCAATCACTCCTTCAGTACAAGTTTGAGTTTTTGAGTCAAGGTCTTGCTCTGCGAGTTCAAAGCCAGCCACATGCTGAGATCATAGGCATAGACCACTATGCCCAGCTCTCCTTTGTTAGAACTGAATTTATCTAAAGATGATTAGTAATCCTTAAGCTTAATGTGCTTCTCACTGACAGAGGTGCATAGTTAGAGAACGTATTCTCAGGGATACTAGTCTTCTCGGCTTCGGGGTATGATACAACATGTGCATTTCTGGGTCTTAAAAGTCTCATAAGTTCTGTCAGGTTCACATTTGTCCTTCTTTAAACTTTCCTGTATGAGATAGCAGGAAACAAGCTTAAGAGAAACAAAATCTTAATATTTTGCTCTTACTGTGATCATGACAACTTGGGAACCCCTTTATGACATAAAGCTTATATTTAATATTTTGGTATTTTGTTTTAATAAATATTAGGGCAAATGTGACTTTCTAGAATGCTAGAGTCTTTATTCCTCTCGTATTACTTATGATCTGAAAATGAAATTTGTCTTTATGTTAGACATGGTGTTGCATGCTTGTTATCCCAGCACTCAGGATGCTTAGGCAGAAGGATCGCCACGAGTTCAAGGCCAGCCTGAACTACATAGCGAAACCTTGTCTCAAAAGACAAAAAAATTTTTATTTTTAAAGAAATCTGTTGCTTTGTTTTTTGACTTCTATGTGTTGTTATTTACAGATGTAAAATACTAGACAGACATTTGGTGATCCTGTCCAAGAAACATCTTGAGACCAAGTTTTTGAAGCTGAATGTGGAAAAAGCACCCTTCCTCTGCGAGAGACTGCGTATCAAAGTCATCCCCACACTAGCACTTGTAAAAGATGGGAAAACACAAGATTATGTTGTCGGATTCACCGACCTGGGCAATACAGATGACTTCAGCACAGAAACTTTAGAGTGGAGGCTGGGCTGTGCGGACATCCTCAATTACAGGTGACCTTCAGCTGAAGCATGCATAGTCATGTTTGCTTGATTCTTTTAATCTTAAGATTCAGGAAATGAAGGCCTGTGGTTGAGACAGTTTCTAAGGAAACACATTATGTTTTGAAGAATACATTAGCATGATCTTATAGCAAAGATAGATTTATGGATAGAACTGAGTCTTGAAGTGCACCTGAATATAAAATTTTTCAACTTAAAAGATGTTATTGAAATTAATTCTGTAGTAACCTGGTAACCCAAAATGATACTCAGAGCAGATTCTTCTCAACTTTTTTTCCCCCTGTGCTGAGGAAGTCTAACCTAAGACTTCACACACTCTAAAGTGCACGAGCACTCTGCCACCAAGCTACCCACAGCGTACTTCTGCAGTTTAATGCTGACTTAAGTGCTTCTCTTTGATTACATTAAAATTAAAAACACACTACAGAAGGTAATATTTTTGTTTGTTTTGTGGTGCTGGAGCTCTAAGCCAGTGCCTAACACATACCAGGAAACTATTTTACCACTGAGTTACACCCCAAGCCCTGAAGTTTATATTTTAAAATATTAGGTCTCACATGTAAAATCTGAAAAACACAAAGGGTTTCTATACTGAGCTTACCTTTACTTGGAGGATAGTCTCAATTGGAAAACAGTGTGAAATTCAACCTCCATTTCTCAATCATGTCTGGAATTCCAGCACTTGGGAGGCTGAGGCAGGAGTTTACGAGTTCAGGGCCAACCTAGGGTATGTAGTGAGTTCAAAGCCAGCCTGTAGTACATAGTGAGACCTTGTCACCAAAAACAAAAAATCATCTGTACCATCTTGTATTCTGTGCTTGTTTCTTTCCTGTTTTGTTTTGTTTTGTTTTGTTTTTACAGTACTAGAGATTGAGCCCAGGGCCTTGCACTGAGCTACATCCCTAACCCTTTTTTATTGTTTACCTTTAGGCAGGGTCCGGCTAAGTTGCCTAGGCCAGGCTTGAATTTGTGATCCTGCTACCTCAGCCTTTCTTGATTTGAAAAATAACAGGTCAAATTGTGCAGTTATCTTTGTGGTCATCATGCCTTTCTGTTAGTAGAAAATTCATCTTTTTCTCTTCCACTTTCCATCCCCTTTTATTTGAATCTCTTCTTGACAGGTAGCCACAGGAAATTATTAAAATAGAAATTATGTCATATATAGATCTTATTCACATGTTACCATCATCCCATTAATGTCTTTTGTACCAATAATGTTCTCCAGACCCAAAACTTGTGTCTCACAATATTATGTCTTCAGTACCTATTAACCAGCAATAATTTGTACTCCCTACCTTTTTGTTTTGTTTTGTTTTCCAAGACTGACATTTTTCATCTCTTATGAGTAGTTACACTTCTATTTAGTGATACCTGTATAGCTGTTCATTATTTTATTCATGTGTTACAGTCTGTTGCCATTTTGTAGTTCAGATTGCTCCAGATTTGGCCAGTGAGCGCCCCTTTCTTGGTGAGCTCTGTCCTTTTAACATGTTCCTATAACCCTGTGAACACTTCTTTCCTGGTCCAAATAAGCTGTTTTAGGGAAGCTCACATTGTGCTTACCTCAAATTAGCTTTCTCCGAGGAACCATACTGCCTTCCAGTGGCAAATTAAGTTCAAAATCAAGATCAATCTGGGTGCCAAGAATAATTTTCCAGACACTTGTGAAAGAAGAAATTTTCTCATTTCAATTATTTCTCAAATGTCACTGAAAAGAATTTTTAAAAAATAAAAAATTTTCATGCCAACTCCAGGTTAATGATACTGAATTCCAAGAGTTTTGCTCATATTTGTAGAAATCTATGTGTTAAAAAATATTAAACAGGAAGGTATTGGGTTGAAAATGATTAAAGTATGTTTTACACGTGTATGAATTGGCCAAAATTAATCCCATTAATCTATGTAACCAAGCTGAGATAGAATCACCATGAGTTTAAAACCTCCCTGAGCTACATAGTGAGTTCAAGGCCACTCTGAACTGCATAGTGAGACCCTGTCTCAAAAGAAAAAAAAAAATCTGTGTTATCCAGTTTTTTTAAAAGTGAAAAAAAAATTAAACAGGACCAAAGCAGTCATAGCAGGCTGTCAAAAATAGAGCAGCAATGGGCCGGGAATTTAGCTCAGCTGCACCATGCCTGCCTTGCAAGTGCAAGGTCCTGAGTTTGATCCCCAGTACCAAAAAAAAAAAAGAGCAGTGTCATCTGTCATTCTTTCACGGTAAAAACCACACCTAACATAGGCTGAATATATCCTGAACCAATTACAAAACACTTAGCCTCTTTTTTTTCTTTTGGATTTTTGAGACAGGGTCTTGCTGTGTAGTTCAGGTTGATCTTGAACTCAATATGTAGCCCAGGCTGGCTTTGAAGTCACAGTGATCCTCCTGCCTCAGCCTCCGGAGTGCTGGGATTACAGGTGTGAACCACCACGCGTGGTCATACACTTCTTTCTGTGCTTTTTGGTGAGAAATTGTGTTGGCACAGCCTATAAATGGTAAAAGAGAAAACATTGATCATCCAAAAACAAGGTGTAAAACTGTCAACTATTAACATGACTGTTATACTTCTTCCTTGACCAGACATATTTTGAAGAAAATTTTCTATATTTTGTATGTTCTTTGTTATAGTAGGAATATTATAGTTTTCTTTGCAATTTAGGATACCAAATGTATTAAATGCTTTTCTTTTTTTTCTTTTTCATATGTGTTTTACTTTTAGTGGAAATTTAATGGAGCCACCATTTCAGAGCCAGAAGAAATTTGGGACAAACTTCACAAAACTGGAAAAGAAAACAATCCGAGGAAAGAAATATGACTCAGACTCTGATGATGATTAGAGCTCATTTATAATTCTTTGTAAATTGTCCGTTTATTTCTGTTTACTTCAGACTTAATGTGTTTTTAAAATTCTATGATTTTAATACATTGACCATCTAATGTTCATATCCTGAATTTTTATACAGTTCCACAACACTGGAAGGCATCTTTACCGTTTTCTGTGTGGCCATCAGGTTCCAGTTGAGGAAAACTTCCCAATTCTTAAGTTACCTGGGTAGGGTCTGGATTCTCTGTTATTGAGATTGGTTTTATCACAGTATGATTCTTATATCTTTATACCATTCACAATTTTGTTTTTAATCTACGAGCTAGAAATAGAAATTCAACTGACTATTCCAGGACTAAATCTTACTCAGTGCAATTTACGTAACAGGTCCAGTAACATTTACTGGTGTGGCACACTGCACTTGTAAATGAACACTATAAGCACTTCACTTGTGGAATTTATTTAAATAACTATTAAAGAACTACTTATTCTGGATGCTGCATGTTCATGTTGAATCATCTGATGCAGCAGAAAGCTATTTCAGGTTGTGAACATGTTGCCTTATTTAATGGGTCCTCATGGCTTTTATTTTAAGATGGGCATTTAAAAGTAATCAGGATGGGGCCGGGGACTTAACTCAGTGGTTCCGCCACCTGCCTTGAAAGCGCAAGGACCCGAGTTCAATTCCCAGTACCAAATAAATAAATAAATAAAATAATCAGGAAACACTTGGAATGGCAGCATGAGGAAATCCACTGACTCAATAAAACAACCATAAGTGGTAAAAATTGTCTTATTTTTAAAGTTTAAGTCTGTGGAAAGTGCCATGATATTATCGACAGCTAAGTCAGGTAGAAATATTACAGCCAGTCAGGGGTAGCCCCACGAGAGAGTCAGGACAAAGGTGAAATATCACAGTTGTGGCTGGAAACACATATGTTGGAGACCAGGCCTCAAGATAAAGATGAAATGACCAGGCCAGCATACTTCTTCAGACAAACACCAGGCCTAATGAAGCCTAGACAGACATCAGGTACCCTGGGGACCCGTCATTTCCTAGGGGAAATCTTTGTTCTTTCCATGCACACTTGTTACATGACTTGTTTCCCCATTGGATCACTTACCTAAACGACTATACTTGTAACCTTAGTGTTTGATCATAGCTGTAACCCACATGGATTTTGCTCTATAAAACTTCCCTGTGGGCCGGGGATTTAGCTCAGTGGTTTCACTGCCTGCTGTGCAAGTGCAAGGACCCGAGTTTGATCCCTGGTACCAAAAAAAAAAAGCCCTGTAAAGTAGGGTCCCCAGCTACCCATTTGGGTCCCCTCCTGCCTCTCAGGAGATGTTCTCTCAAAAAATTTTCTACTCTTAACCTTTGTCATTCCTAGAATTCATTCTTCGATTTTTTAAGAGAACACAAACTTGGCGTATCAAACATTAACAGGTTGGGAACATAAATATTTTCATATTTCATCTCCTGTATCACTAAGAACATAGAGCAAACGACGTTTATTCAAGAAAAGCTCATGTTTGGGATGTAGCTCAGTGGTAAGACACTTGCCTATAATGTGCAAAGCAATCCCCAGTACTACTAAAAAAAAAAATCTAACTCCTTAAAAATAGTCTGGCTTTGGAGCCGTGTGACCCTGTTCTACCTCTCTTCATTCCCCTGGCTCTAGGTCTCAAGAGCTCTTTTCTCAGAAAGAGAAGCAAGAAGTCTGGAATACCTTCCTTCTCCCAGTCCCCAGCATAGCACCATTCAGGAACTGAGAACAGGCCTCATTGCTCTTGCCCCAGCTTATTCCTCGTGAAGGGTGCATAGGAGGAAAAGATGAGAGACCACTGCCCAATGTGTAGACTGTGGCATCAGTCCTAGGAAAGTGAGCTGCTATGCCCATCCCATCTCTGGACCAAGGACACTGACTTTCTGTCCAGTGGAAATGGCAAGCCATCAAACAGCTCCATATTAAAAACTTAAAAAAAAAAAAAGGACCCCTGAAGGGACTGACTCACTCTGTTTAGGGCAGAGTGAAGGAGGAAAAGGTCACATATGCCCTTCTTCCAAATACTGGGAGCAGGGGAGGACAATTAAGGAGACTGGTAGCTCCATCATAGCAACAAGCAAAAGAAAGATCAGTGGGACAGGCAGCTATGTAGTAAGAATTGTAGGGTTAGGAGCTGGAAAGAGGAGCCTGCCTGTCCAAGTGCCACAGAAAACCTATGGCTCTGCCCCTGGGGGTTGGGTCCCTTTTTACATGTTGAAGGAGCTGGGTTTTGTGTCTGCACCTGCATATTCCTACAGCTTATTTGGGCAACAACTAAGGAGATGAACCATGCAGGAAATATATATATAATATATATATGTCTGAATTTAATTGGATCAAACTGCAGCTGAGGCTGAGAGTGTAGCTCAGTGACAGAGCCTTTGCTTAGCACTAGTGAGGCCCTGAGTTCTAGCACCATCACCACATTTTTGAAAAATAATAATATGCCCCCAGAGCTGTCAAAAACAGTAGAGAAGTTAGCTAGCAATAAGTGGATGCTCATAGGATGTGATCATAGTAGAGGTGACTAACCAGAGCCTTTGCAGATAGATCAGGAAAGACAGTCACTGTCATCAGGGATGGAGGGGTCTGACTGTACCCTGAGGAGGAACATCAGGCTGCCTGTTTCATGCATTTAACTCTGTCCAGCCAAGCAGCTAAAGCGAACCAGGGGCTTGGGAAGGGGTGGATTCACAACAAAGTGAATAGGTTGGGAATTTATTCAAAAATAAGGAAATTATGCTGAAGGTAAAAGAACGTATGGTGAAAATAAAGTACCTTCAAAGAACCAAATGGAAATTCTGGAGTTCAAAAGTACAACCACAGTGAAAAATTCATTACAGGAACTGAACAATAGGTATGAGCTTGCAGTAGAAAGAATCAACAAATGTAGATATTTGTACAAATGAAGCTATCCAAAAAACAGGAGAAAGGAGAATGAAAAACATCCAAAGATAAATATAGACCACTAACTACACATAATAGTATTAGAAGGAAGAAAAAAGAATTATTAAGAATGGGATGTAGCTCAGTGCTAGGTTGCTTGCCTAGCGTGCCAAAGGCCCAAGATCCATTCCCCAACACTGAAAAAAAAAAAAATATATATATATATATATATATGAAGAAATAATGCCTAAAAATCTGATGAAAACTATTAATCCAAAATCAGCAAGTTACACAAAGGTAACATAGATCCATGCCAGGATATAGCAAAAATGATAAAATATGGAGAGAAAATCTTGAGAACAATAAGAAAAGAGACCATTGTACAAGAAAACCCCACTAACACATTCCCACAAGCTTGAACGGGTGATTCAAATGGATCTAATCACTTTTATCAGTCTTTTTACCAATAAAAGGCTATATATGGATTGAATCTAGTTAGTTGCTTGAATTTAAATAATTATTACTAAAATATTAATATTACTCAGCAATTAAAATTATAACATCAAATTTATTTTATTACAAGAAATTTATATTTGTGAATTTCTTTAAAATATGCATAAAGGTGGGTGATTTGTGCAGAGTGCATAAAACATAATGTCTTTGGCTATTTTGAGGCCTCAGTGGCACCATTATTTCAGATAATTTTCAAAAATATTCTCTACATCTCTTGCGTGCATTCTTGCCACTCCTAAATAAGCTTCTATAACGTGAATGTTTTTTCAAGTAATTTGCATCTGTGGCATTTTTTCATGGGTTAAAATTTATTAATAAGGCTGAGAAGCAATTATATAATTATCAAATTTTAACATGGAAACCTTACTAGTATCCCCTTGCTGGTGTATATAATATGCATTTGCAACTGCTGTACCACAAATGAGTTGTATTACAATTTTTATACCATTTTAATGTTTTCTTGTAATAGGATGACATTTGGTCTGCTAGATCAAAAACAAGATCAGGTTTTATGTTTCCAGGTTTTCCTTTGATCAATGTTCACATATGATTTTTACAAGTCATTCATATACAAATGGTTCTTTTATCAGTGTATGTAATGAATTTTAAACCAGAATGATAGGAGAGTCATGCATGTACCACCTGTAGTTCAAGCCCGCCTGCAGAGAGACATGAATTACAGCCCTGTCATAAACATGTTGTGTTACAGTTTAGATCTAGATGCCCCCCCAAAGCCTCATGGGATCATAAGCAAGCCTTCCGGAAGGTGCCTAGATTATGGGGCTCATAGCTGACTTGCTGTTAGGTCGAGTGTGGTTGGAAGAGACAGTCACTGACCTGTGGCCTGGAAGGGTTCATCCCCTCCCCAGTTCCTCCCTTCTCTCTCTGCTTCCCGGATGCCATGAGGTAAGCAGCTTCTGTGCCAGGCCCCTCTGCAGTGCCACCCTCCCTTGGAGTCAAGACATGAAACCTACGCTGAGCCAAAATCAATTTTCCTCCTTTAACTTGTGGGTATTTTGTCACAGTGATGAAGAAAGTGACTAATAAATTAAGATTAACTGTTAACTTCTCAAATCAGTGGAGGTCTGGAAACACATGATGTAAAAAGCTCAAAAAAAAAAGTCCGCCAAAATTTTATATCTAGCAAAACCATCTTCCAGAAATCTAAAATGAAGACATATTTGTGTGTCTGTGTTTAAGGGGGTAGGGTGAGAAAATTTGTTCCTGGAAAATAACAAAAATATTGAAGAAAGTCTTTTGGCTTGAAAACAAGCCCATGCAATAACTTAAAACTTCCCTGCCACAAAACAATACTAGCAATACTAATAATTATATAGGAATTTATACAAGGTGTATAATTGCCTAAATTCTGTTTTCTTCTTGAGCAAATTTAAAAAGCATCTCTGTAAAACAATATATAATTTTAGTGGCTTACCTATAACCTAGAAATGTATGTTTGTGACAATAAAGCAGGTGGGAGGGAAGCTGTATTGCAGTAACGAATCCTCAAAAAGAAACAAGAATGAATAAAAAGGTTAATAAAAACGATATATACTAGCTCGCCCTTCAACTACTTTAAACGACATAAAAGCATTACAATGCATACATTTTATCATTTGTTTTTTGTTTTTTAAAACTATCATTTATGTTTTCAATGTATATGCTTTTAACAGATGAAATATGTATGAAGAAGAGGGAAGAATAGACTGTTCAGGGTTATATTTCTATGTTTCCCTGGAATTTACCATGAGGCTAAAGGAGATTCTGACAAAATGTAGACTGTAAAGGCCTAGAGTAACCAATAAGAAGAGAGTCAAAAAATACATACTGAAAAAAATCACTAAAAGAATTAAAATATTGTAGTACAGGGGCCAGGGATTTAGCTCAGTGGTTCTGCTGCCTGCCTCGAAAGTGCAAGGACCTAAGTTCAATCCCCAGTACCAAAAAAAAAAAGAAAAATACTGTAGTACAAAAAGTGTCCTTAATACAAAAGAAACCACAAGAGGAACAAAACATATATGAGCTATATGGGAATCAAAAAGCAAAATG